CCTAGATTCAAAGGCGGTGGCGAGCAGCGACAGCTGGAGGAGGAGGTCGCTGCTAGGGTTTTGCTAGCTAGTTCTAATATCTCAATCTGTGGTCTTTCGATTAGGTATTCTCACAGTCCGTTAAATCTAAGCTGCTCAAAAAATTATGACTTGCATATACTTGCGTTAAATCACAGGATTTGAATCCTATCGACCGTTTGTATTCGTTTCTTTTAGCAAAATGATAGAAGACTTCTACTATACACTCCAGAGTCTTTCATATACTTGAAATTGGGCAAAAACATAAAAATAAAAATAGAAAATAGAAAATATTAGTATATGTTTTCAATCTGTGTGATTTTGTTATGTGCTGTGAAGAAAATGGAACCGATAAAATCAATTAAAAAAAAAAAAAACATAAATAAATAAATGGGAACCAAATTGTGATCTCTATACGTATATATTTTTATTTTATTTTAGTGATCGGTAATAATTTGTTAGCAACTTAGCATAGACTTGCATCACATTTTAATTTCTTGTTAGCATATTATTATATTATTATTATGTTTTAAATTGATTTTATAAACAAGAATTGCACCCTCAACTCACATGAAATCGGCCAAACCAATAATCTGATGTGATTTGGTTTTGTCCTGTGACTGGAACAAATTGTTTTTGTTTCTTAAAAAAATAAAATAAAAGAAAATAAAAAAAGGAATTATTAGAATCAATTATGCAATATGTCAACCAAAAAAAAAATTAGTTATTGGTAATAATTTGATAGCATAGGCTTCCATCACATTTGAATTTCTTATTAGCATATTACTGTATATTGTTATTAACTTTTAAAATGATTTAGAAACGAGAATTGAATAAACTAAGGCTTTGTAACTTGGGCTTCGTTTGCATATGAGAGAAAATAATAATAATAATAATAATAATAATAATAATAAAAGATAGCATTAGTTATAAGAGAAAATAAATAATAATAATAAATTTATGATAATATTTTTATTTGAAAAAGATAGATGAAAGTAAAGAAAATAAATGAAAAGAACTAAATTACTATTATAACATTTTTATAAAATGTTATAAGATGGGAGTCAAATGTTATAAAAGGGTAATTTTGAAATTATGAAAATACTACTTACTCATTATTGTTTCCCGCTAAATCTTTTCATTTTTGGAAGGATAGTATATAAGAGATTTGGAGGAATAGCTACTTTTAATCCTTTACTTTCTCTTCACTAAAAACTATTCAAACACGATTTCTATTATTCTTTTTTTTCTTTTCTTTTTAAACCCCTTCAAATCACTCAATCTAAATGAAGGCTCAGTAACATTTCATCACTTTTTAAAGTAGAATGTAGACTGTAGAGTCAAGTTCTGAAAGTATTGTGAGTGTGGTGCGAGTTTAATTTGTTGTAAGAGTAAGAATAAGAATTTTTTTTTTTTTTTTTAAAAAGGTAAAGTAATATAATAAAAGAATAATTAAATTTTAATGATCAAAATTAATTAAAATAAAATTACTTTAAAGTGAACTTAAAGTTATAAAAAGATTAATAGTCTTGACACAAAATTGCTCTTTAGCAATCATTTGAGTCTAATTTTGTCAAAGGGTTATATTTGCTTATTAAAAATAGGGTTAAGTGCAAAAAATCTCATTTACTATTGATATAGTGCAAAATAGTCTATGTATAGTGTAAAATACCCATATATTATCGATTTGGTGCAAATAACCTCCAGAGACTTAAAATGACGACAATACTTTCATTTGAATAAATTAATAGGTATAAATACAAGCCATGTAGAATGACTATTTTGTCCAATTTGTGCATAAATTTATTTTTTTGGGACAAAAATAAAATAAACCTCGTGTTTTTATAAATACTTGCAATTTGTTTGTTTGTTTGTTTGGGACGAAGAAAATTATATATTTTGTAAAGTTAAAAAAACCTATATATTTTTTAAAAATAATAATTTTTATTCAATTTTTTAAAAATATTATGAATCTAAATGCAATCATTAATATAACAAGCATCTATAGTCATCACTTAATAAATTTTGAAATTTTCTCATCAATTATATATATATATATATATATATATAAGTTACATTTTAATGCTTAAAACTTTTTATAATGTGTTATGAAATATTTGAGAAGTATCAAATACATAGTCGAAGTATCGGATACGTGTTAAAAATAAAAAATATATATATATTTAAAAAATATGAAAACGTTGAAGAAGTATCAAACACGAAACTACAAGTATCGATATTTAATACGTATCTAATACGAGTACGTTGTTCTTGTAGAAATATTTGTACTTTCATTCCTTTCTCGAATTTTTCACTAATTTTTTTATATTATTTTAGTTTAACGGTTTTTGTCACCCGTTTGTAAGTAAACACTACACATACAATCTAGCAACATGTGATATCTACTGAATTAGTATTAAAGATGCCATCAAGTTACAAAATCTTATTTGCTAATTTCGGATTAAGACTTTTAATATTGTGAACGTGATTAGAAAATAGTTATAAGGTGCTTTTTAAACATGAATTAAGACAATTTAATTAAAAGAAACATGTACTTTGTGGTCACATTAGTTTTTTAACTATGGATTTCCAATGTGAATATTTAGCTTTACAACAACGTAATTCTATGATGAGCGAAGAGAACGAGAAGATGTTTTTAATGCAGCTTAAGATTAATCTAATTCCACTTGGCAAAAGAAATAATTAAATTACATATAATTTACCCTTGGAAAATTAACAAAAGCTAACATACATATAACCATTAACTTGATTTAATATGCCTACCAAATCTCAGGAAGCAACAAAATACAAATTATTTAAGGTTTTTTTCTTTTTACACAGTTGGTCCCAAACTCGAATAAATAGGAGGGTTATGCATATAACCTTTTGTAAAATATTTGTCAACATCAATCTCACTAATGGAACAAAAAAATAAAAAGGAAAAGAAGCAGTTGTGGATGGAGAGAGAGAGAGAGGGGTGGTGTTCTATGAGGCAAAAGATGGTCAGAAGGGTTTATTTGCATATTTTTTTGAATATTATGGACTGAATTGCACCTTTTCAAAAAAGAGAGATTTATTGTGCACATAACTTAATATTACAGGGGAGTTTTCTGCTCTTAACCTTTAAAAATAATTAAAAATTATTTCAGTTGACATAAACGTTTTTATTTTTATTTTTAATTTTTTGTAAGAATTACTTTCATTTTCTAAGCAACCAAACTAGAGAAGATGAAATCAATGACATTGGACTCATGAGTCACAACATTGAAATCAGTTACCTTCCTCAACTTTCAAGGAAACATGTAGACAAAATATAAATTACAAAAAAAAATGTAGACAAAATATATCGGTCCTGTCCAACATGTTAGCAAATTTGATACATGTCATCTTCCGATAAAGTCCAGGACCACGAAATGTTGGATTCAATAGCCCATTCTAGCGGGAGAACAATATTTGGGCTTCATGTTTTTACCCAGTCTCTGTGGTTACACAATCACATTGGGGTTGACAGTTAGATTGGATAAGATAACACCACTTTTTCTTTTTCTTGTTTTTTCTTTTTTTAACACGTGCAGGGGATGTATCCCACAAATCCACATGGCACACCCATGATTCCCGTCAAGCTGAGCCCCTAAAGAATGCTCGCAGCCTATCTCGAGCCCAAAGTCCATATGGCAGGTCAACCTTGAGTGTTACCTTATGTCTCGATAACAACACTAACACGAAGGTACTTGAGCCTCCTTGGAGCGTCACAGATTGGCCAAAGGGTCCCACAACCCACGTTCGCCTATCCTGCTCAAGCAAGAGGATGATAAATTCACGTGGCTCACCACTGTAAGGTTGATAATCACGTTATGGTAGCCTTTTTGAGAGGATGTTTTGAGTTAAAAGACCAAAATGACCCTATTAGACCCGGTAGGATCATGATGGATACTCTAGCTCGATGGTCCAAGGCGAATGGCTGAGACTATAAAAGGATCCCTTCATGCACGTGCCCAGGGGAACTCTTGGACTTCATCACACCTCTCTCAAGCTAAGGCACTTGTTCATTTCTATCACATTTTGTATTTAGATATCACCTCTCGTAATAATTATTATAATAAAGAACCCTCACAAAAAGGTCATGGCAAAAAGACAGAGAACTCGTAAAGTTTTCCAAATGACATTTTTTACGAATTTTTTTTATCTTTCTACCGCAATATGTTCAAATATTAAGATGCGAATATAAAGAAAGAAAAAAAATCCGATCATGGTGATCATAATCCGATTCAATCTAACTGTCAAAATGGGGTGACATTAGTTAAGTCTACCGAAGAAAAAAAAAAAAAAAAAAACTACATAATAATATAATTGACCTCTTGCTTAATTATTTTTTTTCTTAAAACATGTGTATCGACCTTACAATACACGCATCATTCAAGTTAGGAGTGTGGTTCGAAATTGAGATTCCTGATTTAAATGGTGCGTGTGTTGTTAGACCGATACACATTCTCTAAAAAAAAATAAAAAAATTTCTTATTAATGAATAATTTATTCACACTAATTATAGCAATCGTTAAATATAATTGTTATATAGTTTTTAAATTTATCTTTTTTTTTTACGCTTAAATCATATATAACAATCAATACGTTTGATGAGAAAAAAGAATTTCTTACTCACAATGAGCAAGAAATTATTATTACTCTACAAAATTATATACAAGCCAAAAAATGTTTTGTGGAGAAGAAAAACGTGGTTGAAGTAACCACAGAGTCACAGACAAGTGGAGAAAAGAGCTGTACAGATCCATTTGAGCGGGATATGACCCCATCAAGTGTTAATTCCACTTTAATTGTATCAAATATAATATAATAATATCTATAGGGGACCCAAATTTTACCCCCAACCGTCCATATTAATCACACAATTATTATTTCAGGTCCCCACACTGCTCACTCCTTTTCTCTAACCGAGCCCACAACACTACCAAATGTTTTAAAAATCTGCTTAATCGATCAAGTCACAACTAGCAGAAGATGAAAGTCAACACTACCCACTTCTTCTACCTCTGCTTTCTCCTATTTGTGTTTTCCTCGTCTGCAGAGTCTTTCTTAGAAAAAATCTCCATTAATGAAGAAGAAGAAGAAGATATCAAAAGATCACATTTCCCAGATGGGTTTCTCTTTGGAACAGCCACTTCTGCATATCAAGTATTTCTTTTCTTTTCTTTTTCTTTCTCGTAAATATCTCTCTCACACTGAGTATTCTTTTGGAATTAACTATTCATGCTTATATTGCAGATCGAAGGAGCATATCTTGAAGATGGCAAGAGTCTTAGTAACTGGGATGTTTTTAATCATATCCAAGGTGAAATGCTATTTTATTTTATTTTCCCAATAAAATATATAATCATAATTTTCTGGGATTTTAACTACTTGCTTCCAAATTCTACCAATCCAGGAGACATAAAGAATGCAGAAAATGGTGATATAGCCAATGATCATTACCATCGCTACTTGGTAATAATTTTACATTAATTTGTCATGATCGAACACTTTCTTTCTTTAACATAGGTAACAAATATATATATATATAATTGTTCAATCTTGTTTGATTTTCTCAGGAAGACATTGAATTGATGCATTCTCTTGGGGTGAACGCTTACCGATTCTCAATATCATGGACTAGAATTCTACCTAGTATGTTTTATTTGATATAAGAGTAATTAATTGGTTTTACTTAATTACTTGATTAATGATCTTCTTGCATTGTATTAGGAGGGATATTTGGTGAGGTTAATCCAGCTGGGGTCATGTTCTATAACAACATTATAGATAATCTCTTGCTTAGAGGTACTATTGCTAAAATGTTTTTATATTAATCCGACTCTAATTATACAAACAAATATATATGACATTGTAGAGATTATATGCAGGAATTGAGCCATTTGTGACCATACACCATCATGATTACCCACAAGAACTTGAAGACAGATATGGGGGTTGGCTTAGTCCTCTAATGCAGTATGCCTAATTTTCTCATTCTTCTGTACATGTTTAATTCAGAGTGTCTTTATGTTTTTTTGTGGGTGTGTGCGCGTTTGCTTAAACTTTTACGTTTTCACGAACCATAGAATTTGACCCCACTGCATTGTGAACTCCATATGATTAGTTATCTTTTACTTAGAAAATTTCCATACGTAATTCATGATCATGTTTGTGTATGTGTAGGGAAGATTTTGTATATTTTGCTGAAACATGTTTTAAGAGCTTTGGTGATCGAGTGAAGTACTGGGCCACAATCAATGAGCCAAACCTGTTTGCTGATATGGCTTACATAAGAGGACACTATCCACCGGCGCGTTGTTCCCCGCCTTTTGGCAATTGTTCTGTTGGTAATTCAGACTTGGAGCCTCTCATTGCAATGCACAACATGTTATTGGCTCATGCCAAGACTACCAAGCTATATCGTGAGCAGTTTCTGGTAATCATATAGTCTTTTAAGTTATGAAGCATTTTGCTTAATTTGTGTCAAAATCAAAATTATGATTGAATTTGAAACTTTTGAAATTAATTGTTGCTAATGCAGCTAAAACAAGGTGGGTGTATGGGAATTGTTGTAAGCGCATTCATGTACGAACCACTGACCGATGATGAACTTGATCGTGATGCTGCAAGTAGGGCCTTGGCTTTCAATCTGGCTTGGTAAGTCACTCACATTTTTCAGAGAAAAATCAATATCATGATTAAGAGCTACGGTAGATCTGAAATGTTTCGACCATTGAAAAAGCCTTCAGAATTTTTTTAAAAATATATTCCAATATCCATACCAATAATAGGTGGAAAGCTGACAAAGTGACAAGGATGATTTCTCTGCATGAAACACGTGGAAAATTTATTTTGCTATTTTTTTCATTTTAAATTATTTGATTGATAAAGATTTATTCAATGAGTTATATACAGTATCTTCAATGATAATATAAATTAAGAAACAGAACAAAGATAGTTTAGAGTGATGATTAGGCTTTTGGATTTAAAAGATGCTTATGGAATATTTTAAAGTAAAGAACGCAACTTGGACAGAAGGATAGCAGTAAGAATTCACTTAAATTATACCAACCAGGTTGGCACCTTGGACTCATGCACATTTGCCTGTTTGTTAATAAAATTTTTGAAATACCGCAAAAAGATTCTTGTTATATGTTAAAGATTTGTCCATCTTATAAGTTATGGGAAAATTATATTTTGGTAATCAAAATTAAATATAATTGCTCTACAGTGATTTTAAAGTCAAGAAAATGTGAATAGTGAACAATATTGAAACTTAATTGATCTTGAGTGACCATTTGAGGATAATTTGGTCAAAAACACTTACAGGTTTGATAAACATTTTAAATGACAAAATTACCATTCAATACAAATAATAACTCATTGAATTCATCATCCCACTCTCTCTTTCTCTCATCCAGTGTTTTTTTTTTTTTTTTTTCCTTTTTAGTTTGCAATTTACCAATTTAAAAAATTTAGATTTCTTTATCAACATTATCTCTTTTACACCCTTTATCTATTTTTCAAGGCTCTCCACCATGAAAGCAACAACATTTAAAGTGGCAAATCAATAAAACAAGTTTCATCCCAAAATGCCCTTTATAAAATATTTATATGAACATTTGTTTTTTAATAAGAAATAATTTTTCTAGCATTTTAACAAATAGATGAAGTGCATTACAAAGTAATCTAATTTTGAGACATGAACTAATAACAATGTCTAAAGTAATCTATTCACTTTCAAAAACAAGAGTATAATTGTATATGCGAAATGTTCCAAAGTCCAAGCAATCTCAATAACAACTCATATGACAACTTCATATTTGCAAATCATTGATATATATATATATATATATGCATACTTTTGAAATACCCATAAACAGTTAGCAAAATTTTGAAATTAATCAACAATGGTCATTATTTCTTAAACTATAACTCAGTAGTATTAAAAAATTCCTAAAAATTACAATCTTATATCTTAAGGAAGATCTTTCAAACAAATCAACTTGTAAAGTATAATAACTATACCTTGAAAATAATGAATAAGAATAAAATTTACAACTTTCTCGTCCTACCTCTTAGATACTTGAAGAAAACAATGTAGAACATTTGTTCTTAGTTCTCTCCCATCTTGGTCTTCTCTTCAAAGACTCACCTCTTTCCCATCTTGGTCTTCTCTTCAGAGACTCACCCTAATAATATGTTGTCTTTTGTTAGTCAATTTAATTAAATGTTTATTTAGGTTAATGTAGAGGGTAAATTTGTCCCCTTACATAATAATATATTATAAGAAGGTTATTTAGATAATAAACTATCAAATGGTCACTTAATATCAATTAAGTTTTAGCATTGGTTACTATTCACATTTTCTTGATTTTAAGGTCATTAATAGAGCAATTATGTTTAATTTTGGTCACCAAAATATAATTTTTCATTAATATAATTAATCAAATGAAAAATATATATCTTATTCAGTAATCAATAAAATAATTTAAAGGACGTCAATGACACTAAAGAGAGCACGTTAGTTTGTGAAAAATAATGGGCAAGGACAAGAGTGAGAACTTGGATTTGTTGAAGGCTAGATTTATTTGTGAGAACTCCGGTCTGAGTTCTAGAGCAGTCACTTTGTGCAACGCTAAGTCTTCCCTTCCAGGCTCGAGCATTAAGTATAGGCAGAATCAGTATAGAGTAACAGCCTTTAAACAGAGTTGTAGTTTGGTTTGCGAAGATAGAATAAAGGTTTAATCCTTTTTACTTGTGGAAAGTTTTCATTATTCAAAATTCTTTGATTATTCACGTTTTTTTTTTTACACCTTAATTGACAAAGTGTTTGGGTTAGTTATTTGCATACAAAAAATATCTGTCTACCTAAAAATTTGGCCTCAATTAATGATTCCGTTTTTCAAAGGTCACGAGTCTGAATAATCTGAATTCCCATATTTTGAAAGTATTTGGTTATTTAAAATGAAAAACTTCTTGTAGTTTCCCTCTAAAAAAATATGAAAATTACTGCAAGAAAAACTAAAGTAACACTGTTAAATTGGAATTTGTATTACTTCTATTACAACGGAATTAACCATGTATTAACAAGGAATCAATAAATCCACTTTGACCAACATATGTAACTACTTTCCCAATGGTTCGCATCTAGTTCGAACACAATTCTGGTTTTCCTAATTGAATTTAGTTGGTTCAAGAATAGCACAGCAGAAGTTCATTAATGTCATCTGTAGAATCAATGTCCTAGATACCATGTGATTATATATTTAAATAACAAGATTGTGCCTCATTTTCAATTAATAAGATTTAAACGTTCACATTATTTTACACATCGTGAATTGAAGTCTTCTTACCCTTAAAAATGTTACAAGCTGCTATCAGAATATGACATGATTTATCTCTTACTTTATAGGACTTTCGATCCCCTAGTATTCGGAGATTACCCGCCAGAAATGCGCCATTATCTTGGGAAAGAATTACCCAGTTTCTCACCGGAGGAAGCTAAATATGTCAAAGGCAGTATAGACTTCATTGGCCTTAACCATTATTCAACCTTCTATGCCAAGGACTGCACCCATTCTAGTTGCACTCTAGGTGAAGATCGTGCAATACGAGGCTTTGTCAACCTTTCTGTGGAGCGTGATGGTGTTCCAATTGGACAACCGGTACGAAAAAATCAAAAAATGAATACCGGCTTAGTATAAAATTGTCTTGCAATCTAGTTTTTTCCCACTGAAGTATATATACGGCACTTTCTTGTTTCAAATAGACAGGGATGTCCAGATTTTTCATAGTTCCAAGAGGCATGGAGGAGGTCATTGACTATCTTAAGGAAAGATACCATAATATGCCTATGTTCGTGGGTGAAAATGGTGAGTAAATGGCACATGTACCTCTGCATCTTAGTGGAATACAAGTAAAAAAAAAAGTACATTTGAGTTTTACCATAAGGAGAGGACTGAATGGCTTTTAAGAGAGATTATAAAAACTAAACCACTAGAAACAATGTTCAGTTAGTTACATGTAAAACTTATGTCGATCGATTTTGTTCTAAACTTTGAAAATCTGCTGTCATCTGCATTCATTCCAGGATATTGTCCACCGCAGCAACAGGATGAACAGGTGAATGATCAACTCCACGATGTCAAGCGAATTGAATTTCACAAAGGGTACCTCGCTTCGTTGGCCAGGGCAATAAGGTCACACATTACTCTCTTCACTCAACAAAGCCTTGGAACCATTCATGAATTTCTTTTTCTGCTTCTTATTTAGCATGGTTCAATACTAGTCTCTCTTATTAACCACTTCTACATATATATCAGAAATATATATGTGCTATGATTGCCTGTAAAAAAAAGCAATATATATATATATGTATATGTATCTTTTTTTTCCTGTGCATAATTAACCATTTCACCAAAATTTGATTTTGTAGGAAGGGAGCCGATGTTCGCGGCTATTTTGCATGGTCATTGATGGACAACTATGAGTGGGTAGCTGGTTACAAGATCAAATTTGGACTTTTCTACATTGATCGTCAAACCCTAAAGCGGATACCAAAGCTTTCTGCTAAATGGTATAAAAATTTTCTAACCAACACTAGTAGCCACAAAATTAAAGAAATGATAAACAAAAATGAGATGATCTCTGTATTGGAAGCCAATAAAGCAGAAATTTAGTAATACACAAGCTTTTATATGTTGTTCACAACAGCATTCTTTATTTTTATTTTTTTGAACAGCAACAATATTTCATTGTCATGTTAGTTAAATGTTTCTTATTATTGCTAAATGGCACTTAAAAAAAAAAAAAAAAAAAATTTGTTCTATACGTTTTTTTTAATATACTGTCACCTCACATCCAATGCTGTTTACATCATATGTTGATTGTTAATTTGTTATAAACAGAGTAAGCAATGAAGTTCTTCAAAATGGAGCAGAGACACAATTTAGTTGCAACCCAAAACAGATAATTGTTCAAATATTAAAAATGAAGACATAATTAAAATACATAGGCAAAACATATGTTTTGGACCTATTGATTTGTTTGTACCGGCCGGACATGGAAGTCTAAGCTGACCATAATTTTATTTCCTTAGAAGAAAGCACTCTAGTTTTTCAGCCCATGAATCTAAAAAATAAATTATAAATTATAATTATTTATAATATAAATTATAAATAATTATAATTATAAATAGGGATAATTACTAATACATGGGTGTAAGGCCCAAATGTTGTTCTAAAATGGAAACAAAGTCTTGATTTTTCCCAAAATGATTGACCTAGAGAATATTTCTCTAAAATGGACTCCACTTTATGCTTTATACCACAAAAGAACTTATATTACTAAAATGACCCAAAGTAATATTTTAATATAACAAAAGCCTTAGATCATGAAAGAGAATTACAGCACAGCAATGTCTTTGAACAAAATATTTAATATTTTTTCTTTTCTTTTTAATTTTTCACGGTAAATTAAAATTAAACAGTAACTTAATAAAGACTTATAGACTTCTTTAGACAAAAGATCGCAAATAAAATTAAATTTAACGAAACAGTATAGCTCTGATACCAAAATTGAGACGGATCCGACCAGATAGAAGCATGCAAAAAAACATAGAACCAATTTAACAATTAACTCACAGAAATGACTGCCGAACCTGATAACGCTCTGATAACGCCCTGTAAAAATACCTGAACACCGGCAAAGAATGGGCCAACAAGCCAACAGTTTGAGTCAACTCACAGAAGAAATTGCTAAATTAAACTAAGGCTGCTTGTACTGGTTGGAATATGTGAAAATTCTAGGATCTACACTGTCTGGCTAAATAAAATCTATATATTTGATCTATTTGTCGACAGAAGTCTTTTGCCCGAAAGTACTGAAAATACTAAATAAAGAAAAGGAATTTGTTGAACAGGAACAAACTGGATGATTTATTTCATAGAAAATATATACATAGATACACACTGTTTATACATGGATACACTCTCACACTATATGTTACAAAGGTAATATATACTGAAGGAAATCACAAAAGAAAACACACTGGAAACTGAAGGCTGGATGCTTGATGGTTTGAGACTTGATGGCTTCTAAAACTCGATGATCGTTACTTGAGCAGAGAGACTCTTTTTATAGCAGAAGAGAGGGATGAATCGGCGGTTGAGCTTGAAGATGCTGCATGGATGGTTGAGATTCAAGATACTTTAAAGATAAGATGGCATGAATTATTGCTAATCTTTTGGTGTCGTTTTCTGGAGAATTATATCTACTTTTACTGTTGAAAATCTGCTTTAATTGTACACTATTGAGGATCTAATTTTTCTTAGATGCTGAAGTTGCCTTTATCTTTAGACTGTGAAGAATCTGCTTTTTCTAAAAATTCGTGCATATTATCCAGATTTTTGTCGGTTGAGCTAGTTGGTAAGATATCTCCTCTGTGTATACGGGCCAGATATTCATCACTGCTGTCTGGGGAGCTAGTTTTTTCGTTTCTATAGGCCATTTCAAGCTGTTCTAACATCATCTTTTCCTCGTTTATTATTTCTTCAACTTCTGGGGATATCTCAATCTCTGGAGGAGACTTAATGACATGAGGAATTCTTGCCTTAACAAAAATTTCCATATTGATATTATGATCGTAGAGTCTGAAACTAGGATTGTAACTTTAGTTAATTTGTCGATAAGCTTTATAGTACACCAAATGGTTAAAGGTAGTGGGGTCAATTTCAACACGAAAGTTATTTGCGAAATCAACATGTCGTGTTAGAATCTTGACATCAGTTGGATCAGAATGAATGTAAACTTGATGCTGTCCCAAAATTATCGCTCTATCTTTTACCCATTCTGGGGGAGTACTGTGGATTTGAAGGAGAATTGGACTTTCTGACATGAAATTTTGGGTTATTTTTTGTTCAATAGCAATGGCTTGGTTTAAACGGTTGGGAAAATTACACAAAGAATTTAGATATTCTAAGGGCGTATCCTTGGGTATAGTGACACTGTAAATCATTCCTAATTCTAACAGTTTACTTAGATAACAAATGGTTGTTTTTGTAGAGAAAATGGTTTTTCTGGTTATTTCAAAAGGAATAAAGAAAATAGGATCTACATCTAATAAGATAACGGGCATAGTTATCTGGGTGCCTGTTTGTATAAATCGTAGGAAAAAATAGTTATATCGGGTTCTTTTGGGTGGACTGTTATTTTTGAGGTAGTTTTGGATATCAACCCATTATTTGAAACCATCAGACTTAATCTTTTCAAGGATAAGGTCTTTGAGATCATTAGGGAAGAGCTTAACTTGTTGTCGTAGGATTTCTCTGTAAGTTGAGGAAAAGAGGGGTAGAAGCTTAGCATGCTTGGTTTGTACCTGCAAAAATTGAACTTTCTAAAGATTTTCATCTTCATTAGTTATTTGTTCAGAAATGGTTAGTTCTGTGGGGTTTTCTGTTAATTTTTTATAGGCTAAATTTAACTTTTTATAATGAGATATAAGAACCTCGTGCTCCTTTTGTAAATTCTGATATGCTGTATTAGTTGATACAAAATATTCACTTAAGGTGTTTAGATTTCTAACGAGGGTTCCATCGGGGTTGTTTCTGGAAAACCAAATATTATCTAAAATAAGTTTTTGGTCAGAAAAAAAATTATGTCTAGCGCGGAACTGTTGAGCTGGGTTTTGGATAATTAAAAGAGGATTAGAAGTGCCTGGTATAAGACTGTAGCTATTGTTGTTTTTGATCTCCATTCCTACAAAATTTAAAAAATCGATTAGTAAACGAGATAGAATATCTGCTAAATAATTATATTTTCCTCTGACATGTTCAAATATAGGTTTAAAACATCTTCCAGTAATACAGTCAATGAAGGAAATCCATCGTTTAGCAGACATCCGCTGTTGTTTTGCTTTATTTGCAAATTTAACTATATTATCACAATCTATTCGTATAAGAAATTCTTTATCGAGGAAAATCTGAAATTTTTCAACAGAGGTGGTCACTCCTAGAATTTCTAGATCTGTTGAGGGTAAAATAGATTGTGCTTTATTAAAAGTTCCACTAGCATGGTGACAAATTTGTTCTTCATCTCGAGAAGATTTTTTTGTTGGTCTTTGAAGAAGTAATCCTGCCCATCCTTGAGCTGATGCATCTGTTTGAATAATTTTATAACTTTTTCAAGTGGGAGTTGTAAAGGTTCTAACTGAGAGACTAAAGATTTAATTTTCTTAACTAACTCCATATCTTGGGTATTAAAATACTTTTGACCATGTTTTCTTAATTTTGAATATAAAGGTCTTACTAATTATCCTAATTTGGGAATAAAATTACGACCATAGTTTAATAATCCTAAAAATGCTTATAACAACTTTGTTTCTTCTAATTTGTCAGGAAAGTCTAAAATCTTTTTAACAATATGAGATTGTAATTCTACTATTCCATCTTTTATGTATAAACCTAAGAATTCAATATTTTGTTTTCCTAATATCATCTTTTTACTACTTATAATGAGTCCTTGTGTTATAAATTCATTGAATATAATTTCAATATGTTTTCTATACTTTTTTTTAGTTTGACTGAAGACTAAAATATTGTCGATGTAAACACAACAGAATTTTGAGTGTTTATTAAATATAGTATCCATTTTACGCTGAAATTCTTGTGGCGCATTTTTTAATCCAAAAGGCATAACAAACCACTTATAATGTCCTTCAGGACATGTGAACACTGTCCATTCAATGGATTCATCGGCCATCCGGATTTGCCAAAATCCTGATTTACAGTCAAATTTAGAAAACCATTTTCTATCTTGGATTCGATTTATTAAAACATCTTTATTAGGGATTTTATAACTATAATCATAGGTATTGTCATTTAATCTTTTATAATTTATAACCATACGAGCCTTTCCTCTTTTTATTTCGGCATGATTTCTAACCATAAAAGCTGGACTCCTATGTCTACTATTACTTTTTCTTATTACTTTTAGTAATATCAGTTCTTTAATTTGTCTTTGAAATTCTTCTTGATCATCTAAGGTATGAGGGTTATCTTGTGTTTTTATAGTTATAAAATGATTTATTATAGTTAATTTTGCTTCAATTTTATTTTTATACCAGTGTTTCTGGAGGTCTTCTCCTAAAATTTCTGTGGTTTCAGCTAATCTTATGAGATTATCAATGTTTAGTTTGGAGTTTTTAAATATAACTTTATTATTAAGGAAAATCTTTGGTTCATCAAGATGACTAAGAAACATTAAGGTTTCAGAAATATCTTCTAAAAATTCGGATACATCAAATAAATTTTCAGTCGTTTCTTCTGTCATAGGTAAGGTATTAACATATGTAATGGCTCATTTATCTTTGTGATGAATAAAAGGATCTCTAGATGGAATAAAGGTTCCTTTCTTAAAAAACTGTAAACCCGTAGGGATATACATAAATCCTCCGGTAAGTGAGTTTATAAAATTTAATCCTAAGATAAAATCATAGGTGCTAGGAATATTATTAACTACGTAAGTCTGGGGTAAAACAAACTTTTCATTATTAATTAATATAGGAATGTTTTGAACACAATGGGTTATTGGGAGTTTTTCATTATTATATTGGCTCATGTTAACATTATAATTTAACTTTACTAAAACTTCGTCTGGGACTAAATGTTTTTGAATTATACTTTTAGATGCTCCAATATTAAGCATAGCTGAAGTTTGAACTAATTTTTCTCGAAATTCTAATGTCACTGGGAATTAAATTAGACTAGATGATTTATATATTGAATTTATAGATTCAACTAAAATATCTTCTTGCTTATCTTCATATTTTGT